CCACTAAAAGGAAGGTGAATATTTTCAGTTATCATGAACTAACTTAACATTTTTAGTCATCCGTTGACAACATTAGCACTTAAAGTGCATAAAATAGTGCAACGAGGACTTATACTTTAATTCGTCTTTTGTGACACAAGTATCTATATTTTTACTTCAGCACGGAGTGTGAGTACTTTCATCACCTCTGATGTCTTGTTTTGTTCTGTCCAGTCTCCCTGTCACACCAAAAGGCCAACCAGTTCCTCAGCAGACACCGGAGAGCCAATCAAGTGTTTGAGGAGACCAAGCAAGGACACTTGGAGAGGGAGTGTGTGGAAGAAAAGTGTTCCAAGGAGGAGGCCAGAGAAGTCTTTGAAAATGACCCTGAGACTGTGAGTAAACTCCTCCCTGAAAGTTTTGATCACTATTCAAAAGCGGGTCGGCGATTCTTTTGTTTGGGCCGTGAAAAAAATGCTGCCGGAACATCCAAGTAGACCTGCAATGTCAGCGCTCGATCTTCGATGCCGATTTGACACGACGGTGTCCAATTTTAATTAGAGAGGAATTGATTGCTGTTCGTAGTAGTTGGCACGACTGTCGAAGTGCACTCTGTGAAATTAAGTGTGGTGTCATACCTCTTGTAGTTGAATGAAACAAAAACTGTAAAAAATTTTTTTTTCTTCTTTTGCATTGGATTTCACAGCATTTCCCAATGTTTTGACCAGTGAGCGTGCCATTGACAGCGTGTAAACGGCAATCGTGACCCAAATCTGCATTCTGCTCTGTTTAAGACCTCCGGCACGAGTTGTGCATGTTTTATCGTGACTGATGATTCATAGTCTGAGCTGCTGATGTTGATGCTTCCGTCAGTGCTGACAAGCATGATAATATTCGAATGGGGGTTGATGGACATGTTTAAAAAAAAAAATAATAATAATAATTTCTTTTTGGTTTCTGTGGTGGTCACTGAGTCAGCATGACTAAGTCTTGGTTTGTGCCATGCAGCATTTTGGAAAATGCTGCAGTCTTCATCCTCCCTTTTCAGAAGAATCCACACAGTCAAGTCACGCGTGTGTCCTTTTCTCTTATCTCTGTTTCGGAATGCATTTCACTTTTCCACTGAAATTTTCCCCCATTCTTCACGGAAGGCCCCAGCATGTCTCACGTGTGCTTCCTGTTTTGCATCCCTCCACGAATCTAATCAGGCAGCTCCTGACTTTATTTTCTTATCTTAGCGCAAATCTCGTTTGATAAGCGTGTTTTCTTTCTCTTCGGTCATCCGCATACGTTTTAGCGACACAATGTATCACCCCGCTCGCGCTCAGAGCCATCGACAGCAGATCAGGGCCGAGGCTGCTTTCATGAGCGTGCGGGTCAGCCATCCCATCCATGTGAAGGCGCGATTAAAGAAAAGGTCCAATTGGCATCCGTTGGCTGGTGTGACAAGCTTGTTTGTGGATGTCGTTTTCTGCGTTGTCAAAACAAGGTTCAATATTCATTCCTTGACGCTGCGATTTACTCTGCTGCAGCTTCTGACTCTGCAAAAAGGTTCGGCCGAGTTGTTCTCCGCAACACATGCACACACACACATTTTTTTTTTTTTTAATCAAGCATGAGAGGGAAAGAGCCCAATAATGAATAGCTCGCATCTGATTGAGAATCTGGATTGAACTATCATAAAGGTCAAGGGGGTCAACTTGAGCTTTTAATGAGGTTTGGTGTCACAGGTCGGATTTGTGACACTTTGCAAATCACACACACACTTGGCTGCATCTTCAGCATGCATCTGTGAATTCTGCCAGATTTTTTGGGGGTGGGCTGGGGGTGTTACAGCAGCAGCCAGGAGGCAAAAATTGCCGCTGCTGATCCTGATCAGGAATTGAGAGAATTGCCAGGATGCCTCCGGCGATGGCCGGCACCCTTTGCAAGCTGTGACCTGGAAGTGATCCTATTTTCCTCGATTTGTAAATTCACTGCCACACTGCGGCATTCTCTTTGTCAAGGTAGAATTTTTTTATAGCTGTTGTACTGAATGTCATTAGCTCGAGCAGGTAGCAAATGAAACGTTCAGTGGGTGGAGGTCTTTATGGATTGCCGTGCGGTTCGACAAAGTCGGAGCTTTTTCACATTTAGCACAAGTATAAAAACAAATAGTCAAGAGCTATATTCAAAGACAACAGTTATTCAATGTCTAAAATGAACCGTTTCCATGTCTCCATCTCCTTTAGGACTACTTCTATCCCAAGTATTTAAGTAAGTCGTATCTTGCCACCGCTTGCCAACAATGCCGAGCTTGACGAAACGAACCTTTTTCTTAACCTCTTTCTTTTTTTTTTTTTGCTTTTCTTCTCCCTCTCAGATTGTTTGGACAAGTTTGGAGGATCAGCAAAGAAGAAGCACGATCTGATCACATGCGTCCACAGTAGGTTTTATGTTGCCTTGTTCGTGTCTCAACACGAGGCGCCGTAAATTTTCACTTGACCTGTTTTGTCTCTCACGATTTGGCTTCTGTACCGCGGAATAATAGCGCATCCTCGGTGGGGCACTTGCTTCTTTCGGGAGGAAACGCGGGGGCAGTCGGGCTGCATCGCAGCCGTGGGTACCGCAGTAGGAAAATGTCACGATCCAATTAACTTGAAAGTAGATTGCCATCATCGGCGCTTGGGGGTGAGGAACGTCTCAGCGGCATGACGATGGAACTGCAGTGATGCGGCGCATTGCTGAGTGACGTACGCCCGCCCCCCACCCCCCTTTCCTTCGTCACACGCTCGTCAGAGATGACGCGGCTAAACTCTTACGTGAGTTGGGTACGAAATTTCTGCTGCATCAGTGTGCAGCAGACCTCATCCGGCTTCGAGTGACAGGGGGGGTGAGGGGGGGTGGTTGTTGGTGGCTGTGACTCAGCTGTTGTGCCCTGCGTAGCAGAGCGCGGCTTCAAGGACGGCAGCGCTCCCTTTTTATTTATTTATTTTTATGTGCCTCTCCCACCTTTTTTCTTCTAATTTGGGATCAGACCAGATCTTGGCATTCCACTGTTTACAACAAAATGATGTCATGCGCGCGTTTTGGCTGCATATCAGAAGCCAGAAACAGATTTGAGGCGTTTGTCTTTTCAATTGATTTGTGTGTGCACAAATGCACACGCAACACTCTGCAATTCAAGTTCGGTAGCTGCGCACATCTGGTCGTCGTATGCGCGTTATTGTTGCGTCGCCACTGCTGCCAAGACAGGCGAGTGTAATTCTTCAAATGCGACGTCAAAACTGCTGAAGGAACTGGAATTCCGCTGTTTAGAAACCGTGTCAGATTCAAACACTTGTAAGCAGCATCTGTCTTCCTCCAGGCCCCTGCTGCACACACTCTGTACGCTCGCTTATCTGATATGAGCTGGCGTGCGCAGACTTGCGCAGACTCCCCCTGCAACCAAATGAAAAATAAACATCAGACCCAAAGAACAGAACCTGCAGTGGAATAATAAGATCATCTTATGAGGCAGAGGGCACACTTTCTAAGAAAAACTGAATCGGGACATCGCTCAGAAGAGAGCTTAGCTAACAGTACGCCGTTTATGTTCTCATGCAGCGGTCCCCAACCTTTTTTGCCCCACGGACCGGTTTCATGTCAGACAATGTTTTCAGGGAGCGGCCTTAAGCCCGGATAAATACAACAAAATAATATGACATGACCTGCATGAAAAGTGTGGTATTTTCGAAACATAATCATGAACACGAATCATGACTCGAGGAACGTCCTATCTGGCCGCAACACTCTCTGGGTGCTATGGTAACGTTTAAACGTGCCTTCAAAATAAGATACACCGCAAATACAAAATGCATGAAAAATACGACTCACCGTCGCCGCATATTATGCAGAGTGGGCTTGGTGCGTGGGAATCTCCCGTTGAGATAAATCCGGATTTTAAGTAGGTAATCCTGATATTGTCTATTAAATGTAGACAAAAAAACTTTTCAAAGATGTTTTTTTTTTTTTTTTTTTTAAATTTATTTTGCCAGCTTCGGATTTCATTTTAGCGGTAACTTATCACGTGACGAGAAGCGCGCCTTCACTTGTGTCAAGAGTGCGATACAGTACTGCAGATGGATGTCACAGAGAATCCGCAAATTTTTCAAAATAAAACATCTTTCAGATAGTGAAATAAATAAAACGGAAGTAATGTAAGTGCTTTATTCTTTCTGTGCGGTACCGGTCCGTGGCCCGGGGATCGCAGACCACTGTTCTAATGCACCCAACTTTCTGTTCAGTGTCATTGTCAAATTTGTCGTGTCTCCTTTTTGTTTTCTCCACAACCAGACATTCCGGACCAATGCTCCCCTTCCCCCTGCAACTCTAGAGGAACCGCGCGCTGCGAGGACAAAAAGGGTTCCTTCCTCTGTCACTGTTTTTCAGGTTGGACGGGGGCCTTTTGTGCTCAAGGTACTGTCATCGCATGTTGAACTTTATGTGTGCAGGGGGTGGGGGGGGCTGGGGGGGGCTAGCTTGGCACCGTCACGCAATGTCATGGATGTGACCTTTTGACAGCTGTCTCTTGGCTTAACCGTACTCAGACGCGTTCACGTTGTAGATCTCGTCTTTTCGTGCTATTCCTGCTCTGGATCTTCTGAACAACAAATATGGAGACAAGTCGAAATGATTTTGAATCGTGCACATGGCACCAATTTAGAAGGAAAAAGGCACCTATATGGAGAGCATTTTCGTTTCAAGAACAACAAAACAATTAGTCTATCTAATCGTGCGTGTAGCTCGCAACATAATCTTGACAGACGTGCCCGCGATTCAATTTGTCAAAAATACTTTTGAATCCATCGTGATGTGGGGCTTTGATACGTTCATTCCTGCAATCCGTCGAGGTCAGCAGCACGCATTCTAGCGTGTAATCGATACGAGGAAAAGGATGCCGCCTTCCCTGAATGAGCCGACCTTTGAGGCTTCCCACTTTTCGACCAGATGAAATGTCGAAGCGCAAACTGGAAAGAGTGCACACCGCGAGCCGCAGCGGAATATGCTTCACAGCCACTCCATTCACACTTTTCCACCGTGACTCATCTTACCACCTTTACCCGCAGTGGAAATCGAGGAGGACTCAGTTTCCTCGCGGCTTTTCCACTGGGGAGGATTGTGAAGGCGCAAACACGAAAACTGTATTTCACACTTGCCCGGCAAAGACAGTCATTGACAAAGAGCTCATTGTGTGTTCGAAACCCCCAAAGTAATCCATGATACTCCATTCCCCTCCGGCAGATGTTGACGAGTGCGGCGAGAGCAACGCAGGATGCGAGCACGAGTGCAGTAACACAATGGGGAGCTACCACTGCTCCTGTCGCCCAGGTTACACGTTGCGAGGACATCACATGTGCTTCGGTGAGCAACAAGACACGCCGCGTATGCCGCGTGCGTGCGATTCATCACACACGATTGCCACTCTCGATTGTTTCTTGGGTTTATGTCGCCAAACTGTCCCCCATTCAGACGTGGACGAGTGTCAAGATGTCGTGAACGCGTGCGGGTCAGCTCGCTGTGAGAACAACGAGGGAGGCTACGAATGTCTGTGCGATCCCGGCTACGTCTTTGACAACGAGACCAAGAGCTGCGTGGGTAAGCTGAACGCGCTCATGCAAGTGCGGCGAGTCCTGCTGGAGAAGAGGCTTCGGTGTCAGCAGTAAAGCAGATGAGCAAATTGGGGGGAGTGTATTTAATGCACAAGCAGAGAAATAAAATGCATTTTGTGAGTGATTTTGGAGGCGGGGCATATTCTACAAGAGTGTCTGTTATTCACAGGATTTTATTGTAAACATATTATGGGACATAGATTTTAGTTCGTCAGTACAAAAACAGAAGCTAAAATAAAACATTGACTTTCAAATATCCAATTGTGCCCCCTGCTTGACAACTCCCATACCAGGAGCTTCAATTGAGAATTTATCTTGGGGACAAAAAAGGAAAAGAAATACCGGTCGTGACTGTGAGTCATTATTCATTATTATTTATGTATTGTGTATTTTATTTTCCCTTGTCTGTGTGAAAAAAACAGACTTTACGTAACCACAGTGTCTCTCTGCGAATGTTTACATTTTATTATAGCCAGACAAGGCATGGCCATATATGGTCAGTTGTGTGTGGTGGGCCGATAGTGGCTCGGTTAACGTCAAATTCCACTTGATACGAGTGTTGTTTGCATTCCTCATGATGCTGACAGGAAGCCAGTTCCCATGTTTTTTTTTTTTTTTTTCTTAAAACATCCTTCCAGAGTTCATGTTTTGATTGCGTCCTGAGCTTTTTCTCTTGTCACCGTTGGTGCAGCAGTCATCATTTTGCAGCTCTCCTCTCTCCTTTGGTTCTCACCTCCCAGATGTGGATGAGTGTGAGGCAAGCGTGTGCGCGGAAGAGTGTCTCAACACTCTCGGGAGTTTCCGCTGTTTGTGCGACGGGCGTCAGGGCAGGAAGCTGGAACAGGACCTCAGGAGCTGTCAGGTGAAATGCAAAAAAAAAATGAGCCTTTTGGTTTGAGCTCATTCAGCTCTTTGACATGTCAACAATTTTCCGGTTCTGTGAAACACATCAAACAATGATGCGTGCTCTAGCTTGTCTTGAACCGGCAAGAGTGACAACGTCGTCGTTTGTCTGCAGGCTATAACTCCCTGTATGACGCCAGCTCTAAAGAGGAACTCTCGCTCTCTCTATCTGGGCCGCATGTTCAACGGCTTGCCGGTGATGAGGCTGCGCTTCCGTCGAAGGATTAACACCGGGTGAGCAAGTGTGTGAATGGGCCTTTTCCTTTGTCCCCTCCTCATTTGAAAAATCTCTGACCATGTTCTCTGTACTCGGCCTACATATGATCGGCCACGTTCACACTGCAGGGCGTCACGTGGCGCTTTCTTGACAGAAGTTGCTTACAGAAGTAAATACGGTTCCCATGTCGAGGGCTCATTTTGTCCCATGGTATTGCGAGAGGAGGGAGGAGGTAGAAATATTTTGGGGATATTTTAATTCCTTATTTAATGAAGACGTCTACTAAAGATGACATCACGTCATTGCCGCGCGTCATAATGTGTGGCTGTCTTCCTCCTATCAACACGAAGCGCATGTATGATATTAATTGACAAAGATGGAAACGAATGACATTTCCACTGTCATTATAGTAAGTAATGAGTAAGATAAACAGTCGGAAACAAAGTAAGACATCCAGTAGTTTCCGTGAATGTTGGTTTGGTTGAAAAGCATTTTTGTCTATTATTTCGTTCATGAAAATGTTTTTTTTAAGTTTGTTAATTAAGCCAAACAAGAAGTCATTTCGAAAAGTCACTTCGGAAAGTCATTCTTAAGATCCTTTTCTCATGCTTCCCCCTTCGCTGTTGCAGTTTTTCCGCAGAGTTTGATTTCCGCACATACGACTCGGAGGGAGTGATCTTCTTTGCCGGCGGTCACCTGAACAGCTCCTGGATCGTGCTTGCCATTCACCACGGCAAACTTGAGTTGCAGCTCAAGTACGGCCCGGTCAGCAGGGTCACCAGCAGCGGACCCGTCATCAATGACGGCCAGTGGAGGAAGGTTGCTACTTTTGATCCGAAGCGGACTCGGTCGTCTGCCGCATCAGTTCTGACCGACACGGCCCGCCATGTTTGCTCTTTTCGGACCAGATTTCCGTCGAGGAGCAGGGGCGGAGTCTCGTGATAAAGATCGACCGGGAGGCCGTCATGAAGATTGCGGTTAACGGCGATCTGTTCACACTCAAGAAGGACATGCACGAGCTCAACCTCACTGTCGGAGGAGTTCCCTTTAGGGAGAGCAGCCTCGTTAGCAAGGTCTTGGTTTCACCCCAATTTTTTTCGTGAGGCTCTTTCTACCGGTCGTCATCAACCTCTGATGCTGTTTCTTAGGTCAACCCCCGTCTGGACGGCTGTATGAAGGAGTGGCGCTGGATGACGGGGGAAGACCGGTCCATGCACGAAAGCATCATGACTAATGAGAACATTCAGTGTTTCAGCACCGAGAATCCCGGAGCATATTACCCCGGGACGGGCTTTGCTCTCTTCAACATCAGTTATGGTGCGCAGTGTGTGTGTGTGTGTGTGTGTGTGTGTGTGTGTGTGTGTGTGTGTGTGTGTGTGTGTGTGGTGATGACCACATGCTTGGTTAAGCGTTGACATCTTTTTGTTCATCGAGCCGTCCTTGTTTGTGCTTAGAGTCCCAGAACCTGAGCGTCCAGTTGACCCTTTACCCAACGACCGCCATCGGGGTGCTCTTTGCTCTCGTTCACGAAGACACCGTCCCCCTCTCCGTCGCTCTGGCTGACTATCACCCCGGCACCGATGAGTGGAGAGACGTAAGTGCCGCTAAAATATCGCATCATGTTCGGCTTGCTATTAATCAGAATAAACCGCGTTTTCAGTTTGTTCTGGTGACAGCGGGCGGCGTCATCCTGGCCAGCTCGCCAGCGCCCCTCTGCGATGGCGAGAGTCACGAAATCCAGGTGAAGATCTCAGGCAACCGCACCCAGCTCCTTGTCGACGGGGAGCCTGGACGGAGCGAAGATGCAGAGGTCAACCTTCATTCACCGTCCAGCACCTACATTGGAGGCCTCCCTGGTGGTGAGCACTGAGCACAATACACACGAGGAAGACGTTTGTTTGCGTAGAAGAGGGAAGTTGCAGTACCGCTTAATCGGGGTGCGTATTGGGCCCCTTACAACATGTACTGTCCAGGTCAGGGTTGGCAACTTCATACAACAGTTTCCCCTACACTACCTGATCTGTTTAAAGTTGTAATAACACCGTTCACCACTAGTTGGCAGACAGCTCTTTGTAGAACTTTGACCTATCCTATTTCATCACATATATTTTACCTCAGGGTTCATATCTGATGTATACTGTACAATACATTATTTTGTATACATAAAATGTTAACCTCTAGACCTTAATCCCAAATCTTTCATATTTTCATCCAAGGAGAAATTTCTCAAAAGGCAATTGTGGAGCCATGAACGAACAGTATTGATGAAATGGGGTTATGAATGAATACTGTATTTCAAAATATCGCCCTTGAATGTCAAATGAAAATACTAACATTACACAACCCCCAAGAAGTGATACACAAACAATTATTGAAACTTCCCAACCCTTGTGGATGACAGATTTGAACTGAATTTTCTTTGACATTGAACGTCCATTTGCGCCTTGCGCCGTGTCACTTGTGCCTCAGGTGTCCCGCTGGTCTCCACGCTGGTGTCGGCGCCATTCAGCGGCTGCATGAAGGTCGCGGTGAACGGACAAACTCTGGATCTGGACCAGGCCACCCAGAAACATAACGACATCCGCTCCCACTCCTGCCCCCTGCTGGATTCGAACCAGTGACCGCGCACAGTGCTCTGCCGAAGCCAATCCAGAAGCAGGGGAGAATGTTTCCAAAATATTTATATGATCACGCGCCTTGAGTAGAGAGAAGAGACTTCTTAGATTTAAATGCCATGAAATCTAAAGCAAGTGTTGCGGTCCTACTGGGCCCTCAGAACAATGTCACACTGTCCTTTGGTCTTGACTGTGACGGTGGCGCTTGCTGCCAGGAAGCTCTCACAAGGACTCTTTGCATATTCTAAGAAAAATAATAAGCCAACAATGTCCACTTCATCAGTCACAAGTCTTAGGATGGAATGCTTCGTCCGTCACATCACCACATAAGCCCTCAAGAATATTAAGTTAAGCCAAGGTCAAAATGTCTCAAACCTATAAAAAGATCTCAAGGCTCAATTACGCACGGTGACCCACCCGAAGCAGGACACTGCCCACCTTGATTTCTTTGCGTATTCTAGAAAACCTTTGCACGTAGTTGCCGGTCGATGTGGTTTGCCTCATGAAACCATATTCATGAGCTCATCCCCACCTGCTCCATGTCTACATGCAACCTTGGAGGGGAAAAAAAAAAAATCTTACCTTGTGCCTACTTGAGTGCTCTAAAAACAGGCGAATTCTGCCACCGCTGCAAACATCGTTGCTCACCGAATGACCGCCACCCCTCTTTGTGAAATGTGCACTTTGCATCTCCGCTCGTGCGCAAAGATCAAATATCTTGCTATTTCAGAACCACGTGAATGCTAAAAACCACCCTAAACCAGTCGGACGACGGCAGATTCGTCATTGGGAGGGAGGAAGAGGAGGCTGACGTTGCAGAAATGGGAGACCACCGCAGCCAATGTACCACACGAGCTACTGAGAGCAAACCTAGCGCGCTGTATTATACTGAGTTTGTAAATAATGTGACTGTACAATGCTTTATAGAAGGGCAGAAACTCAACGTACGTACAATAGGCTCCCCGAGGTCATCTTTGCATCAAAGTTAAGCAACACTTACCGTATAGTCTCAATGTAATATTCTTCAGACAAAACAAAGTACAGCTGTGATTCTCCCCAACAGTGGGATTAAGAGCAATAATCACAATCTTAAAATAGAATTTTACAGAATCATTGTTTTATTCTTCATTTCGTAGATGCTGAATAAACCGAAATGCAGAAAAAGAAACAAAAAAAAACAAAACACAATGTGAGACTGAGAAGCATTGCGTTCGTCCAAAGGGCTCCAGTGTTATTTTGGCTTCACTCCGCTTTACCATTTTGGAGTTGTCTCATGAATGAATGCCCCCGATATGAGAATGTGCATTTTTTTTTTTTTTATTGTAATGTCCAATAATTTTCTTTTTTTTTTCTTTTTTTATCGGCGAATTGCACAATGCTACGATAAAGTTTGAATCTACCAGGGTGAAAACTGTATTTAAGAAGCAAAATAAACAGTTTCAATGAGCGTCAAGAGTCACGCGAGCCTTTTTGTGATTATGCTAATGAGGAGCCACCGGATCTGTGGACATTGTTCGCGCGTATTTTATGTCCAAGCAATCAGCGAGTGCTAGTGCTACAATTAGCACTTTTCTGCCCTAACGCACATCTTTGCCTGTATTATAAAGCCGATTTAATCGTCAAACCGCAACGTAGCAGCCACGGTGTGGTTTTATCCGCATTCCTGTTGAAAGTAAGCCCTTAATTGTAGTGCATTTGTCATTGTTTTCAAAGCGCACACAGGAACACCTGCAAAGAAACCGGTTAGATATAACCCAAGAAATTGATGTTGGCCAGTCGATAAACTAATGCTGGGGTCCTAGTCAATGAACATGAACTACGCTCACTACAAAACAGACATCTTTCTCCTTTGCGGCAGTAAAGAGGAGCTCACTGACCTCTCCCATCTACACGGCCTCCTATTAAGCGTCTTCTAAGTTCGGGCAAACAAACTGGAGACACGAATGCTTTGTTTTCCTTTTGGCTGGGGGGGTTCAATAGGCGTAAGGCGGAGGTTTCTCGAAGGGGCCGTGAGCGGATCCAAAGAGGACCGGCGCGTTGGGTGTAAGCATGAAGCCGCCTCCCGGTTCCTGGGTGGGCCCCTGCTGTAACATTTGGGTGGCACCTTGTGAGGGTGGCTGACTCTGGGTTTCTTCGGAAGGACACGAAGTGCCTACGGGACCCCCCTCGGGGATCATTTGTGGGGTAGCGGGTCCGTGAAAACTACTGCTGGTAGTCTGAGCAAAGAAAAGAAAAAGAAGGCGACATTACGACCTGTTAGGTACCTGCGAGCCACTTTACAAGGTCGACCTTGAGATTTAGATTTTTCAAAGAGGTAAGTTGTAACTGTTAGCATCCAGAGAGATGTGAACATAATTGTATTGTTATTTTTCTTGCTGCAGTTTGAAGTGATGAAGAATTGCCCTGCTTTAACCTGAGTGCGTTTCCATAGAATTCTGTTGGTGCGTTTGTATTCATGGTCGATGTGCTGTATGTTTTATATTGCAGGACAAATGGAATTTCCCTTGAGGGTGCTGATAAATAATGAACAATTTCACGCCCTTAAAAATCAAACGTAATAAGTCCATGCCGATGACCCCTCAAACTATCCCCAAGAAATTCTATCAAGTTTCATTTTAAGTCACGCGGAAACGGTGACAACTCTCATGAAGGCTGAAGTGATCGCCGAAAATGTCAGCTAGGTCAGCGTTTTTCTCTTCACAAAAGAAAAAAGACCGTTGTCTGAAAAAAAGTAACCTTCAACCAAATTCAACTAATAAGAAGACAAGATGAACGTCATATCTATCTGTCATTTGTCTTCTAGGGTGGTTCTGAAGACTTTATTAAATTAAAAACAAAAACTGTGTGGTTACAATGTCATACTGCTCCATTGTGCTCCAGTTTGCACTGTGTGACCCACCTGCACTGTCCCCGGATAATTGGGGTAGGCAGGAAGATTCTGCCCCGGAGGACAGAAGCCAGCGTAGGTGAGCATATGCTGGGTGGGGTTGTACAGGATGTGGGGCGGTGGCGCCGGGCTTGGCGCCATTGCTGGAGTCGGTTTCTGCTGCAGGGGTTTAAAAGCGTAAGTGGAACAACGGTGTGTGGCAGAGAAGCAGATTTAGAGCACCGATTCGTCACCATTATTCACATACATGAACGTATTGAGCTACATTTCAAATCCGCTTGAATCAAGGTTCCTTGCTTCTTCTCACCATGTCCTTGTAGGCTCCAAGGATGGCGGCAGCGATGATTCCCAGGAAGAGGCCGGTCACGTTGAGGACCACCGAGGCCCACAGCAGACGATGGAGGTGGATCACATCCCAGCAGCCGCTGACCCCGGTGAACTCAAAGTACTGGGGGTGGTACTCTGTGCTGTAACACACAAGATACTCATCAAAACAGTCCAAAAGTCCCGGCAGAATTGTCTGTTTTCCATTTCACGGTCAAGTCTCACGGCCGATTAGCCGCTGTCGACTGTACATGGCCACGCAACATAACTGCTGGAAACGAGGCGAGTGATAACGCGTGCAAACGTTACCTCTCGCAGTTATAAAGGTAGCAGCAGTAGCAGGTGTTGCTTCTCAGCTTCAACTTGCAGGATTTGCCCGATGAACCGCACGTCATCTGCGAGTTTTCAAGCATTCAAGAGGTTACTGTTAAGGGCCTCACGGTTTTAATGCTCAATTTGGACATACTCTGTCATAAATTTGGCGAGCTCCTGAAGCTGTACTTTTTCAGCTTTCAGCATGAGCGCAACGTCCAAACTAAAGGAATCATCTTTTTAACCTTTTTTTGTATGACAATAGGGGGCGCTATACACATTTTTGCTGTTATTCGTCATTGATTGCATTTTGAGCAGTAAAGGCGTTCAACCACGAGATGTCACTGAATTTAAAACTTTGGAAAGAGCTTGGCGTACAATTCACACTTGCATTTGGCCACGCCGTCTGTAAACTGGAATGTGTTATAAAATGTCGCTTTTTAGTGTCACAATCATGTCCAATTGTATCTGTCATCAATAATCATGCAACTATAAACTTTGCCAATTGAAAGAACCGGTCAAAGAAAATAACGCAACAGTTTGAGTGACGTCAACGCCAACTGCTCAAACTTTCTTTCCTAATCCTTCAAACCAGCAATGAACGGCACACAGCATCAAAATGCGTGTGTAGATTCACCTCAGTGTAGTAGCTGTCAAAGGCGTAGCCAGATCCACTGGTGTAAAAATCACACATGTCCTCTTGCAAAGGTCTTATGTCCTATATAGGAGGGTTAAAAAATAAATTCAAATTAAAAGACAAATGTGCAGAGGGGGTGAAGACAATGGGGCGGTGACCCCGGGCATCAACCTGAGGGAGGCGTCCGCAGCACAGAAACACAATTGCGCGTTCATGTGAGAGGAGAATCCGGCTTTTCAATGGAGGGTTTTAAAATTGGGTTAGGGTATGATAATTGGGTTGTATGTTGTAGTTGGAGTTTGAAATGTGGGTTACAATCTTGGGTTATGGTTTCAAAGGAGGGTCTCAAACTAGGGTTAGGGTTTTAATTTAGGATTTGCAAATACGGTACTTTCAAAGTAGGGTTTTAAACTAGGGTTAGGGTCTTAAAGTCGGGTTATAAACTCAGGCTATTGTTCAAAGTAGGCTTTCAAATTAGGGTAAGGATTTAGAAATAGGGTTTTAAACTCGGGTTAGGGTTTCAATTTAGGGTTTCCAATTATCCTGACCACCCCAGACCTTTCAATAAATTATTTTTCCGAAGGGATGGGCAAGGGTCATGAAAATAATCCAGTCGCCCCCAGCATCCACTGTTGCTTTGCATCCCACCGAGCTTTCGTTGTGCTTACCAAACAATCCCAAAGGCTTTCGCCAGTGCAACCATTTCAAGGTTTCCAATTTTTCCACATCGGCGGGGCTGTAGCATTTTTACGGCTCACGCTGCACATTAGCAGCCCACCTCCTGCACTAGGATGATAGAACGAACAAGCTCATTCGATGATTTCATTGCGTGAGCCTTGCCAGAGCAATGAATATAAATTCCGCTGTCCCGTGAGGCCGCGAGCCGCCTTTGATTGCATTCCTGATCAATATCGCCCATGCCGTGCCAAGAGCCCAGTGGCTTTTTAAACTCCCCCCAATCATCCACACTCATTAAAATATAAAGGATTTGATATTTCACTGGGTTAATGGGCCAAGCGGAGCTTTTGCTCATTTGCAGGAAAGTGGGATGGAGGTGGACGTTAGCATGTCGACATTTTCCCTGCTTTCTTTCTACTCACAATAAATTCTGATGCGATGATCCCATCCACGATGGCACAGAAGAAGGACGCAATGACGCCAATGCTGACAAAGATAATGGCCGCCATCAGCTTGGAGAGAACAGACGTGAAAAAAGACGGTCATGTGTCGTATCACTTTATGAAAAGCGACGTGGCAACACAAGCAAATGTTTGGTAAAGAAAGCGTAATATGCGCACACAGATATGATCGTATAGTTCTCTGCTGTGTGTTCTGATCGAGTAAGAATAACACACACACACACTCGCACAGACACACGCTTGTTCTGAAGCCCCGGCTGCCCTGTGACAGATGTCCCATCATAAACTTTATAATAACATTTACAGTAATGTCTCCGCATCATTTACTGTCGCTGTTCAATTACGCCACCAGCTAAGTGCCAGCTAAATGACTTTAAAATATTATTTGTAATCATTTTGCGTCTATATGAAATCAGCTCTGTTATGCGGTCAATATTTTTTTATTATTTTGATTATTTTTTATTATTTTTTTTACTGTACGCTCCACATTAAGTTGCTGCTGGGGTTTGTTTGTGTGTACACCAATGTTTCCAACATACAGTATCATATTTCATAGCAGTGGGGGGAGGGGGGGACAATAAAATACTGTAATTTATGACTGACTGTTAGATTGCGGTCTAATAACAAATCTTTATTGTACTTTTTCACGAATGTGAATATTAGAACAGCTCTGTGAGGCTTAAGTGGCTGGTAAATGTCTTTTTCAAGTTGTTGTGCTAACAGATGCTGTTTTGCACCGTTTCATATGCTTTTACTTAACCGTTTTGATTGCTGACCCCTTCCCACCTCGGCCAAATTGTTGGTTCAAACAAGCCACTATGATCACTGCTATGACTTGACCAAAAAAGGGCCTAAAATTTGCCAGAATGCGTGCCGACAGGCCGCAAAGCTTCGAGGGAAGTCTCTTTTGGACAGATGTGACAAAACATGAGGTTAAGGCAGCGCTTCTCAATTCTTTTTGTTTCTTCCCACCGTCAGGAACAATAAAATATTTTGCGCCTGCCCCCCAATTTTCTGCAATAATGAATAGTATAATTTTTCGATTAAACTCTCAATCAAGTACAGTTCATGTCTGCAGAGGAGCTGATACTTCTTGTGCGCTCTCTGACAATGAGCGCACCACTGCCACCAACTGTAGTGGAGGTGCAATTACACTTTATTCTCATCAGATGTGCCGAGGATGAAGCGGAGCCTGAGAGGGAGACGGGTCTTTTCCTTTGTCTGTTCTTTCCTCTGGAATGACCTTCGTTAGGCAAGCCCCCGCCCTGTCCCCAAGTTTTGAAGGGTACCATCCATCTCTGTATCTTACATGAGAAACGACGACACAAGTGGATGACTGTTGAATGAATGAAAGCACAGTGGTGGGAAAAAAAAAGGAACAACAATTTTCCGGATGGGATTTTTTTATCTGCCCCCAGCCCAGACTCTTCGCTTCATTAGCTGTTTAAATGCCTCGACTTTTATGGGCTCCAAGTGGGAGATGAGGCTAGCGGCACAGACAATAGAGCCGGACAAAATGCACGGCTTAGCTTAGCACCAGCTGTCAGGACATAAAACACATTTATGCGCACTCCGAACAGAGCCTCTAATGTGCCCTCGTGTGCGTAGATGAGGGATGCAAAGCAGCATTTAAAAAGAAGGAAATAAATGCAAGCTTCCTTGCATGGGGAACAGAATGTCTTTGACGCCGTGTGACAAAAGTCACCACAAGGTGTTTTTGCAGTGCTCAGTGGTCCAGTGACAGAGCACCACAGTGCGCGTAATAAGAAGTGAATGTCCAGTTGCCTGTTGGTTAAAATACGATAATGTTCCTCGTGCTTCAAAAATACGATAATGTTCCTCGTGCTTCAAGGTGACCGGGAAGGCTTTTGTCTGTGAAATATAGTGGGGGTGTCAACAAGAGCCTTTTAGAGGTGAGAACAGAGCACTCGTCTGGTGAAGCGTTTCGTCATCAAGTATAAAAGCCACTGTGTCAAAAAGCTCCGGAGCACCGCGACATTTGGCGAAGAAAAAAAAAATATATATGTGCACAAAAAGTACAGATTTTTTTTCCAGCACATTAGGTTTTTGTCATAATAAAAACTAATAAATTACTCATAATATCTTGAAATATACTGTATTTCGTAGTATTTATGAATTAAGGGGTGGGTTGAGCAATAAGTGGATTTTTTTGGGGGGGGGGGGGCGTCATAGCTATATAATGAAAAGCGCTTGCAATTCATCTTTTTCCACCATTGCTCAGCTTTCGAATCAAACAATCGACACCGACAAGCGGATCCGAGCTGCCACACGACACCGTCAAGTCCACATGAAAAATTCACGATAGACGCACTTGGTCGCCGTCAGCAGGCATGAAGAGAGCAGAGGGAATGGCTGCGAAATAAAAATCTCCACTTTTTTCCAGACAGCCGATATTGAATTATTCCAGTATCTCTGTGAAAACATTTTCAATCAATCACCAATTAGGAACTGAACTAACGTCGCACCGATTTTAAGATTTGTAAGCTCTTAATGGTGTTGCCCCGCCATGCTTCCAACTTGCTCACAGCGTCACAGTCACCTTTGATTCACATGTAAAACTCTCCTCAGTAAGACACATATGAATTAAACTTTTAATTTTCATCTAATTTGATCTACATAATGATCTATGTTTATATCCACTATCTTCCTTTAAATGTCATCTTCAAAGAGCTGCGTACCAGTCGTGGTCTGATCGTAGCAGAATAGTTGTGAGGTGTGCTGGAAGCGTGACATAGTAGTTTAAGGTGAAGGTAGGACGGCATCAGGGATCAGGTCTAAGCCCATTGCTCTTTGCAATAGTGGTGGATAGGCTGAGAGATGAGCAGTACAGTATGAGCATGAATGAAAGGGGAATGGGAGGCAGACTGTTGTATTTGATTTGCTTCGTAAGATTTTTGATCAAACCAACGCCACACAAAAGCTCTCGGTAATCTGTATTTATTTGTAGATGAGTAGCCGACTCAAAAGCACAAATTGCAATAAGTCAACACACGGTTGCAGGATGTGTTTGAAAAACACATTCTTCAACCCAATTTGTGTTTTGATAAGTTATTAAGGTCAAAGGTGATTTTATAACAGGTACTGTACTAGTTTTGGGGTCTCTGGTGTTCATGTCCGACCTTGTATCACGCAATGTGAATGTGATACTGAGAATGGCACTTCAATGACACCAAAAATAAAACTCCCTCAACTCCTGGCAGCCCTCTGCCAATCTCATATTTGTCTAATTGTCATTTTATTGACATGGATTATGAAAAGAAAAAAATAAAACCACCACAAATCTTTGAGACCACATGCTAAAAAAAAGTAAGCATTTCAGTTCGGGAATGGGTAATGCGATCACATTTATATGGCTCCAATTACACAAACAAGCACTTTGGCTGTGTGGCTGTCTCAAACAAGCGAGGCCCCTTCAGCAAACAACCAATGCTAATTCATTTTCAGTTTTTGCCACCGAAATACGGAGCCAATCAGAATCTCTTTAGCCGACCACAAATGCAGTCATGAAGGGCGACCAGCGCCCAGAGAGCAAGGACGCATTACTTTGGCAGAGGATAATCGCATTTTTCCTCATGTCAACAATTTCCTGTAAAACACACACACATGACATGAACACAATCTTTGATATATGGCACATGTATCTTTTTTCTATTGATCTATCGATCCGTCACGTTTTGTCATTTTTGGCAAACTGGATTAAACAGTGCTTCATGAAGACCTAAATTTTGTCATGTGACTGCCCATCGCAAGCAAGGTTATTATACTTATGGAAAAGGGAGGCTTGTTAAACCTAAAATTGGAAACATATTTTCTTCAACAAAATAAAATAAAAACAAAAAACACTTAAAGAAACCAAAAAGAAACTACAGATTGTGTTCATAAAACAAATGAAAACTAACGATAATTAAAGTGAAAATGTCCTTTACTTTCACACGAGTTCATTTTAAAATAATCGATTTTGGTATTGCTATACATCTGGATTGTGGATGGAAGGTTAAACAGTCGTTTGGGAATTGTAGTTTGCTTTAGTTTATTACACATCACTTCGCGACCTTTTTTTTCCCGTCCCGCACTCGACAAATCCTCGCTGTAAAAATTAAAATAAAATAAAATTAAATTAATAATAATAATAAAAAAGCTAACACTAAACTAATAAAAAATAAACTAAAATTATAT